AATCTACAGAAAAATAAACATAATCTCTCAGAGCTCCCTGTTCTTTAACCTGAGACCCCATGAAACCAACAAACATGCCTTTAGCAACAATAATAAGGGATGCTTATCATTAACAATAATGTGTGTCGTAACTACATGAGCAGCAACCTGAGGATAACATTGGGTTTCATCATGGCTATAAGGCTTGTTTTAGCCATGATTATACAATAGAATACAGCTTTATTTATAAAGCACTTTAAAACCTCCAGACCAAAGGGCTGTACAGTCAAATCAACAAACAAAAACATACACAATATCACACAGCACAGCTCACACACCATGATTGCCAGTGTAAATCTACCAATCAGTCGGTCAATCACTTTATTCTGAACTGAAATATCTCAACTGTTGTGGAATGACATGATCTTTTGGACAAACAATACTGTACTTTTGTACAGAATGTCATGGTTCCAAATCCTGAATCCCATCACTTTTGATGATAACCTGATTTCTCATTTCCCACATTTAAGTTGAGTTTCTGAAAGTGTGAAAATTACTGAAGAACTATCGGATGGATTGGTTTTAAATGTGATACACACCATTTTTCAATCACTTACTCCATAGATTATTATTAGCCTCAGCTGTACTTTGTGTGAAGTGCTAATTAGCAAGTGCATGTATTCTAACATGCTAAGGTGGTGAACATGGTTATGTGTTGCTTAAAATAATACTTCTGCATACAGTATGTGACACTGTGAGTGTTGCACGGCCAGATACGGCTCAGCTGACTCAGATAAGGAGATATATGATACATTATGAAGTGATATGCCGCGGACTGTACTTAATGTTACTCTGATCCGGTTACTTATGTTGTGGCAGATATTTAAGTAAGCTTTCTTAACGCTAATGTTATAATAGTCAGATTGCTCTGAAGATGGAGGTGATATTCTATTAATGTTCACGTTCACACAGTCGGTGATTTTTGCCGGCCGTCTTTCCTGCAACGGCAGCTTTTCTGTATTTCCTTTCTCCTGTAATATGACTTGATCGCTTTAAACTCCGCACACTGAGCTCTGATTGGTCAGCAGGCAGTGCTTTCACTGAGTTGATCTCTTAGCCTGCAACCTAACCTGTTCCGGAGCAGGTTAGCCGCTCAGCATAAGTTACCATGGAGATCTAGCCCGCTAAAAAGAGAACCAGCTTCGTAGGACCGGAAACCCAGAGTTTTCCCTGAAGTTAGCCACTAAGAGAACATCCTGCTTCGTAGTACAGGCCTCTGGTGAATGCATCATCTTTGTTTCCGTGTTGGCTTAGTATTACTAGATTAGGTTTAAGATGTTTCTCAATGAGCTTTTACCCCCATAATTCATCATGAAACTCCAAACAAGACCGGTGAACCTAATAGAGCAGAGTTCTTCTGCAGCATCTTCTCCACATTCGACTGTACCACTCAGCAACCTCTCTCCTTTGACTTCATGGATTCACATGTGCATGGTACATGATGAGTGAAAATGTTGAACCAGGGTGAAGAGACCACATTAAATGTACATCACCTCAGTTTTAGGGATAATTCCCTATTAGTCATGTTGACCTGACTAATGGAGATCCCTCGCTGTGGATGTTACATGCTAACATGCTCACAATGATAATGCTAGCATGCTTATGTGCAGCATGCTAATGAAAGTCAGATGGTGTTTTAGACGGGGCAGTGATATCATAAAGCTGTTAATGTACGCATTCAAACACTTTTTCTTCTACCAGCTGTATTCACCTTGCAGGTGCAGCTATGTGGCTTTGATCCTGGATCAAGTGTTTAAGTCATGGATGTTTAAAGTTTAACTTCTTCATATGTCTAATATTATAGTTGACTTTTCATTCAGGAAGTATGACGCTGCGTTGTCAGTATGCTTCTCCATGTTTGTGATTGGTCGAATGCTCCAGATACCACCCCTTTCATGTGAACGCGCACCTAACTAGATAGGACATGGCTGGCTTGAGCGATCCACTTGATAACCCGCGTCGTAGTACCGTTTAGCGAGAGCGCATATGTTTTGGATTAGGCCAACCGGCTAACTCAAACATATCCAGGTTAGGTTGAACTGGTTTCGTAGTACAGGCCTCTGGTCCACATCCTCAAAAACTCCATCCGTCTTCATTTGAGTTTTAAATCATTTTTCACAATAAGCTGCTTCCTACTCTCCGAACACCTTTCAGCCCACCAAGGATACTTTCTTCTCAAAGTATTTTCTTCTTGAAGAGTAATTAGACTATTCATTTTAATAATGACATACATTTGACTTTTTAAGTTGGTGAATGATCCAGCCTTGTCCGCTTCATGGATGAGTAGGATATCATTTCAACTGCAAAATCATGAAGTTGTCCAGCAATGTCTATTCAAGGAAATAATGTCTGTTATTCAAATATTCAAAGGCTTTCTCCTCATATGCACAGTAGCTACAGTGTAGTTATGGCAATGAAAGACTTAAATGCAACATCCTTGTTTCGATACATGGAGGCAAAA